GTTTCAGTTTGGGATTTTTTCACTGTTTCGATTCTTTAATTTTCCTTCCATTTTTAGGTTTTTCAATATTTCAGCTTTGGAATTTTGCAATATTTCGTTTCTTCAATTTTTCAAATTTTTGATATTGTGTTTTCTCGGTTTTTAAATTTTTCGATATTTTAATTTTTCAGTTTTTAAAGTTTTAGGCTTTTAGATTTCTCACTATCTCGACTTTTCGATTTTTCAGTTCCATGATTTTTCAATTTGTTGAATTTTTAAATTTTAGATTTTTTGTTCTCGATCATTCAATTTTCTGAGTTTTCAGGCTTAGATTTTTTTTGTTGTTCAATTCTTGGATTTTTAAAATTGTTGTTTTTTAAATTTTCCTATTTATCAACTTACTGGGATTTCAATATTTTGATTTTTTGATTGTTCAATTTCTCGATTTTTTGAATTTTTAGTTTTTGATACGATTTTTTTTTTCAAAAATTTTCAGTTTTTCAATTTATTAACTTCACGATATTTCAGTTTTACGATTTTAATTTTTTTTTATTTTTCAGTTTTTAATTTTTGACGTTTCTAAATTTTTCGATTTTTCAATTTTTCGATTAACTGATTTTTTGATTTTCCCATTTCTCTATTTCTTGATTTTTCAATTCTTTCTTCAATTGTGATTTTTCAATTTTACGATTTCTGGATTTTTCAATGTTTCAGTTTTGGATTTTTTCACTTTTCCGATTCTTCAATTTTCTTTCCATTTTTCAGTTTTTCAAGATTTCAGTTTTGAATTTTTTCACTCTTTCGATTTTTCAATTTTCCTTCCATTTTTCAGTTTTTCAGTATTTCAGTTCTGAGATTTTGCAATGTTTCGGTTCTTCAATTTTTCCATTTTTTGATGTTTCGATTTCTCGGTTTTTCAATTTTTCGATAGGTATTTTAATTTTCCAATTTTTAAGTTCTAGATGTTCCGTTAATTTTTTGTTTTCCTTGATGTTTCGATTTTTAAATTGTTTAATTTTTAGATTGTTCAATTTCTCGATTTACAAATTTTTCAATTTTTCGGTTTACCGATTTTTTTCATTTAAAATGTTTCAATTTTTCAATTATTAAGTTTTCGATTTTTCAATTTTGGTGTAATTTGAAAACGGTATTAATAATACATTTAGGCGAAGAAACTAATAGACGGGCTTGATAAGCCTTGTTGCTCTACAGTATCTAAATTTTGTTTGAATAATATAATAATTATCTCGAATATTAAAATTAATATGTCAAAAGAATACGAGAAATGATTATTCTGTGCTGAAGGTATGTTGTGGGCCGCCTGTCATAAATTATCATTATTCTGCATTATCGGCTTACGATACTTTTATGACCCATGTCCGGTAGTCGTCTATCCCAGCGCGTCAGGTAGATTAAAAGAAGAATTGCTGGTTGCGTTTAAGGCAACAAATGGCGCCCAATTCAAACTTGTCTCTCGTCTAGCGTTCCCCCTTAAGTTGTTGTCTAGGTAGTCGGCTATGAATTGGAGGTACTCGAGATTGCGCAAGATGGTCAGGAGATTGGGGCAAATGTTGATAGCGTGTTGAAACAGGAGGCTATCAAGGATGGTTTTGATTTTGATTAAAGGGATGTTTGGGTCCATGATTTTGGACAGGTACATGGTGATGTTGCAGAGGGTGTCCTCGGAGGGTTCATAAAGTTGGATGAGGTCCAGTAAATGGTGCAGCTACAGGTTGATTCTTGTGGTAGAAGTCTTCAACCGATCGATCTATAGACACTTGCAGCTTCCTATTTTTCAGCAGAAATCAATTTGGAAGAAATCTTCGTCATTGCTGAAATATTAGAAAGCGACGACATTTCTAACGACGATGATGATGGTTGAACCTTCTTTGGATTCAGAAAAAAAGTACTTCAGGATTCACCAAATTGCTCTCCACCAGAACAAACGAGAACTTAAGGAAAACCAAACCGTGAAGTACCTATATAGCCAAGTTTAGGAAACACAACTTGGATTTGGACGAAGCTATATCATGGGAAGCAGAGCTGTTCAGTACTTCAAGTAAAAGTACTTGAAGTAATACTTCAAGTACTTTAAGTACTTCAAGTACTTTACTTGAAGTACTTTTATATTTAGGTACTTGGTACTTGGTACTTGAAGTATTTCTAAAATGTCATAAATATGTCATTTGAGAGTGGATGACGACAGCAGAAGGGTCGGAGATCTGTGTAAAATTTTCAGCGATGTAAAGTTGTGAATAAGTATATGAATTTTGTCTTTTCTGTATTTTGGTTTGGAACTAACTTTGCGGGTAGTTTTTCAGTACCTTCCCGGTACTCCAAAGGAAATGGGGTTTGTTGACGTACCTGCTAAAGTGCAAGGTCGGATTTGAAAATATTTGAGAAATGATTCAGTACTCGTTCAAAAAGATATTTATTCTTTCATTAGTTTATTAACCCCGCCGTGTATTTGTCAGTAAGAAGCCTGGTCAGGGCGGAGAACTCGGCAGGGGATTATCCCTTTTATTATAATAGCAATAGCTGATGGCAGGTACAGACTTTCATATTCGCCTCTTCCTCGTAGAATTTAAACACAATTTTATGTTAAATATTTTGCATTTTAATTTTCTTTATCATATTAGACACTCGTTTTTTACCAAATTTTCTTTTTTTGTTTATACATGGTTCAGCCATATAAACTTAGTTTGTTATTACTACTTATATTTTCTCACATTACAGTTTCAAATAATCTGTTAATTTGTATGAATTATTTGAACACCAACAATTTAAAAATACGTAATGCAGAAAAACAATGATTTTAAAAGTCACACTAATTAGTGTCATTTATCTTTCCTGTGCGGATTTTATTTATTACCGTACAACAACTTTTCGTATTACATAAACCCAATATTGTTCAAAATGAAATATGTTTTGTGAAACTCGGCTCGTAGTACTAATGTTTTTTCTAATCCAGTTGATACGATCATGATTGTATGGTTTTGATGAGTACCGAATTGTACTTTGATATTGCTCGAAGGACCTTTGTTTTGTTGTGTGCGAAATAATAGACAGCGTTCGGTTTCGATGTTTAAATACAGGACGGTTACAGAAGTACTGAATTTACATTTGTATTTACAATATCAGGTAAAGATACCCAAACGGGTCAGTGGCCGCTTCCGTAAATGGAACAAAATACATATTCACATTATAAAAAAATACAAAGTTAATGAAATTCGCGATTAGTTAGTATAATTGCCTAGATAAATACACCCCTACGAAATATTTTAACAATAATAAATTTAGTACATATTTACCTGAATTTTCGCAAAACCCGTTGTTAGGCATTCCCTGAAGTCATTGTAGTTATCAGTTACTAATGTCATCTTCTTTGGGTTTTCAGGTAAAAATAAAAAATAAGCCAATCGAAAATGTAAAGGAAAATTCTGAAAGTATTGTGGCATTAGAGGAACAAAATTTTGTAAAAATGGACGGAACAGCATTACAAACCTATTATTTGTGATTTGTCAGTGTAAAGTTACACTCTTAGTTAGACAAACATCGTAGTGATTCGTGTTTACTATTTAGTCACTGTAGTATTTAGGTTAATTTAATAATTTTTAGAATAGTAAATACGTAAGTCGAAATTCTCAGCATTTTTGCTAACCGCAAAAGTAAAAAACGACTAATTACTTTGATCACCTTGATATTTTTCAAGAGTTATAGTTTTCGCTGAAAATGGACTCTCGTTTTAGGCATTTTATTTTTTATTTAAAAAATTCATACGTTTTTTTTGAAAATACAACATAGTGACTTAAACATTTTTATGTCACGAGCATGTATATGTATCGCACTGCTCTTAAAATTTTTTTCTGAAAAATTTCAGTTTCACAAATCCGGCCCTGTGCACTTTCACAATGGGTAATGATTAAGGGTGCTGTAAACTACCCACAAACTTAAACACGGAACCGGTTCATAAAATTTATATATTTTTAACACAACTTTATTAAAAAATCAGAACGTTTTGGTGGTGAACCAAAATTCAAAATATTAAAAAAAGGCAACAGAAGCCTGAGAAAATACCATACAGCGCCGATGTTTTTGTTATAAATTAATAGTAAGCAAAGCCGTCATGTATTTTATTTTAAATTTTAAATTAGCAATATACGTTAATTTTGTCGAAGGCATTGTGTCAACAGAAAGATGTAATAGTATTTCAAAAGAATATTGTTTATAAATAACATAGTATTATTAACAAGTGAGGTACCATTCTGCATTTAAGTTGATGCTTATGCAATTTTTTATGTGGGGAAATATGTATTATTGTATACTTAAATTCTGAGTATAAAAAAATTCAGTTCTAAAATATATTAAGCTTTTTTAAAAAAGCAGGAAAAGTTATCTAATTCTACTGTATTTCAAATAATTAGAAAGTACTTGAAGCATTTTCAGTACTTCAAGTATTTGTAAGTACTTGAAGTATACCTCCAGTACTTCAAGTACTCGTAAGTACTTGAAGTAATATACTTGGCTTGTACTTCAAGTACATTTGAAAAGTACTTGATACTTGAAATACTCTTGCTGAAAGTAAGTACTTGGTACTTTACTTGAACACTATTTCAAGTAGTACTTTGTACTTGGTACTTCAAGTACTTTTTTTGAGTACTTTGAACAGCTCTGATGGGAAGGTGGTTTTATTGACAAAGATGGCATTTCTTTTCAGCCGATAGTCTATTTATCGTTAGCTATTTATTTATTGATATTTGATTTTGAACGTGCAGGGAAATAACAAGCTGGTTCATTATTATTATTATTAGTGTACCTAAAAATGACAGGCATCAAGGAAAAACTTGTTGACAAACAAAGGGTATTCGAGATAGAACATGAGATTTTGTGCATACAAATCCGCTCTTTATTTATGAGATAGCAACACTTTAAAGTTTGAAGTAAACGTAATGATACGCGGCTGACTTCACAATTTTAAAACTAGTAAAGTTTGTACCTCAGGATTTCTCTATTTTACTTACATCATGTGAAGTACCGAAGAAGTGTTCAGCCCGTTCAAGTTCGGCATCTCCTCAAGCCCCGTATTGACGATCCTCCTGAAAAATATTTCTTTTAATATCGGGATCGAGCCTTCTTTATTAAACTTTCAAGCACGGTTGAGAGCATCTCGCAAACATTTGTTCCTTTGGATATTTCCCCCGGAAAGCAATTATCTGCCGCGTCCGCGGCAAATTAAGTGGAAATTGTCTTTTTCTTCCACTCCATATTTATTGCACAAACCCGTAGGCAAGCACTTCGGGCAGGGACAATTTGCATCCGTACGTTGCGGTTTGGCGCATTAGCTTGGCCTAGTGCGAATAACGAGGAGTGGCAAAGACGTATGCTTCCTTAATTAATTCTAATCATTTTGAGGCACATATCGATAGTAATTTCCCCGGGAACTATCAGGGCGGAAACTTATGCAAATTCATGGTAATTATTGTTGTAATTATTGCGTGTAATGGGGTGCGGATGGCGGAAAATTTCTACTTACAGGATTTTCAGTTTGGGTAAATAGGCGCTGAAGACTTCGGGCTGGATCTTGAGAAGCTTGGGCGCGCGATGAATGTAGCTGAAACGAGATATTAGTTTTATTTGTGTTAATTAATCGTTTTGTTGTGTTATTTGATGTCTGTTTCTGCTTTTTACTGAGGATCTAATCAGGCCGTGTTGTTTCCTAATTTAAAGTTTTGATTACTTCGTTGTAGCTAGGACGCTCTAAGTTTTCGCTTTTACATAACGATCTCACTTTTGTGATGGAGGGGATGTCGTAAATTACAAATTTGTAATTTGGTTAATTAAATGGATGTCTGTTGTGTTACAAATTAGATTAGTAAATGTCTGAGAGGGAATTTGGGGACGGTGGAGGTTATTGATAATCGTAAGTGAATAGCTAAGGTCGATAAGGGCATTCTTGGTATGCGAAGGAAACACCTGGATTTTTAAAAATCTATAAAAGTGTAAACACTAAAGTGCAAAGTCAAAATCTAATTTACTTATAGAAATAAACGATAACCAAACAAAGGCACTTTTTTATTTATATTAAGTTAGCAGAATTGTTCTCAAACCTCTACTTTCAGTTTACTTTAGGCTAACATCTTACCTTTTCTCCTGAAATCTGGTGGTTGTTACCGTGAACTGTGGGTAGTTGGAAACGTCATAAAACATGTAGCAGAGTTGTATAGCTTTAATTAACCGAAAAATGTTAAACTTTGACTGCGGCATGGAATTATTTATCATATAGTTAAATATTTTATCACTTTTTTAAAACTATGAACAAAATTTTGTGCTTTATTATTGTATATATAATTAGTTTTATGCCACAAATATAGTTACATAAACAAACAAAATAATGTGTTTCATAATAATGAGAATGTTTTAGTATCCACCTTTTATAATTAATATAATTTAATTCAAAAGTTTTACACACACCTGAACGAAGCTGAAAGTTCTAAATTAATCCTAACATATATTATTACTGAAGTTATTCCATAGCAAATGAATTTTTCAAAAACCTATAAAATATAAAATCTAGAAGTTCCGATTTTTTGTTAGTTCAACCTCTGTTTTACCATTTATATAACCAAAAAAAAAGTATAAGCTGCTCTTTGCAAACACAATTTTAAAGATAACTTTAATTAATTATGCTTCAGAAAAGTATGAATTTTGTAGGTATGTTTCGGACAAAATTTGAGTCGTGTCGTCCCGTATATTTTGCATAACAGCTTTTATAAAACTGCACTAAAATGCATTTGCTGTTAACAGGGACCGAATAACTGTTCTTTGTACGTAGTGGCATACCTAAATATCACTGAATACTGTATAGTTAATCGTTATAGCTCGCAGATACATAGGGAAGTGTTGTAATAGTTTTTGTAAAATAACATAGTCCTGTACTTGTGGTTTTTGAAACCACGTTGAAATCTTATCTTACCCATTTACGCTTAATAACTGCACGCATAAATTGTACACAACACAGTTGTTCTAAAACTACTCTAATTTGCATGAGCAAACAGTACATAAATTATTATTCTACGAAACTGTTTTAATCCCAAATAATTTCCAACTTTCTAATAAGCTTTGCGATATATTTAATGGAGACTGTGTAGTGTCACATCGATAAATAATACGAAGAACGAGAAAAAAAAACTTAATTTGAATGACTATTAAAAAATGGTCCTTCTAGTTCAATAATATGTCAAAAGAAAGATTGCCCTAATTACGAACAAACTTTGAACGAGTTGCAGACTTTGTTTCCGTTCTACTAAATTATGTTCTCGTCTTCATTCGTTTCACTACGATAAGGCCTACAATTCCCTCAAATAATAATCAACAATAAATCCATAAACACAAGTTTAATCTTCCACAGCTTTACCCATGTTGGAATATACATCCCTCAATCTGGACACACATTTAAAACGCTTAAGTATTATAAACATACAACTATTCACATTTTAGCCACTCCGTTAACGATAATCCACACACCGGCAGTGAAGTTTCATTTGAAAACTTTATTATCATCGAAGCGCATTTACTAAATCCCGGACATAAGCTCCGATATTAACTGCACTCGCTGCTGCCGACGTATACTTATTCGAGTTTGTCGTTGGAGAGAAATCAAAAGCAGTAAGCAGATCTGTCAGTATTGTACCTAGGAGTTCGACGTTAATAAACTCATTGTTCACGTTGCAACTTGCCTGATTGTGGAGCCACGAGCCAGATGGGAGATCTGCGTGCTTTAAAACCGCTTGAAACTTTAAATTGGGTCAATTTTTCTTGGTGTTTTTCTTATCGTGTGCTAAGTTCTTAATTTCGAGTGGCGTGCCCGTTAGGGATGGAAATAAGCGGAGATGTACGGTTTAGCAAACTCCGGAAAGTCGTTTCGCTGTTTTTTTATTTTCATTAGAGTTATTTAGATTTTATTTGGAGTGGTAATTTGTAGTAATTTATGGTTACGTTGAATGTTCCACGAAGTTTGTCTACAAAAAAAGGACGTTTACTAATTTTAAAAGACAAAGTTTTTGCGTTTGGATAACTACGATAATTTAAAACAGAGTGACAGGTTTAGACTTATAAGTAAACAAAAAATGTAATTATTTTTATGTATTTGAAACAATTTTGTAATTTATTAGTCCAACAACCATTAATCTTCAGCAAATAATTTGTAAACCCACTAGTTAAAAAAGGTATTATTTTCCTGTGTTATGTTTTAAGAAAAAAGTTTTAAAAATTTAGAGAGATTACAAAGACTAGAAATTTTGGAAACTTGAACATGGTTAAAAGTTTTAGTATTTGTCTAGGAAGAAAATTAGGTTGTGTTGCCTGAAATGATGTCTTAAGAAGATTTAAAACATTCGAATTTTTAGCAAGAGAACACCAAGTTAGCTGTTTTATTCATATTTTTTAAAAGAGAAGGTTGAAAAACAAAATAAAATAGAGAAAAACCAGTTAACCTCAAAGGAAATTGTACCTGGGGTAATTCTCAATACGAATAAATTTAATAATTTATTAATCACGTTATTAACATTTTGGTGGAGAAAACTAAATAAAAAGAATTGTATATAATATGAAACGAATTATAACGTTTTCATTTTAATAAACATTTATAAAAATTATGTGAACTATGAAATTATGAATTACGAAAAACACGCCGTGCAAGCAACTAAGCATCACTAAGGCCAAATACCGGGTGATTTTTTTGATTTGTGAAATTCGACCAAAAAGTAGATCGCAATTTCACTTAGTTTTTAACTTTAAAAAATTGGTCGAAGGTTATTTCTTTAAGTCTAGTCAAAATTATAAAGTGATTTTGCGATTTCTGTTTTATGATAGCATCTATAAGGTAAAAAGCAGTGATGTAATTAACACAAGTGTGGACAATATGAAATATTTTAAAGCAGATATATAACAGACAAAATGTACATATTCGTAATTTCTGGGTACATGCTTAACTTCGACTTTTTATGTTGTGGTGACCAGATTTGAATAATTTGAATTGGAAAACAATTCAGTCAAGAAAATCGTTAAACATAGGCAACCATGTGCACGTTTAGTTATTTTGTGGTGGTTGGTAGCTTTCCTAGGGATTTTTTTTTGTAGGTAGAGGGTAGGTAGTGAGGTTTACTTGTTTGGTAGAGAGTAGGTGGCGCAGTAACGACGACGATGCCACAGTTTACCCAACGCGCGTAGCTAATTCTTGCGGGTTTTTTCTAAGCGGAATATGCGAATTTTCGACCGACGCTAACACGTGAGGTACATTTGTTTCATTGTTTGTAAATTCACAGTTCATGTTAGGATTTTAATCGTTAACTAGTTCTAACACAATTTAACGATCCTGAGATTATTTAGATAAAGCACTTGCTAGGAGATTTCATGAAATTTACTTAATTATGACTCATCCTTTGTTTATAAAGTTATAAATGAGGTTTTTGGATGTTTATACTTAAGTGTTACATTATAATACTTCTTAATTCCTCACACAAGACTGCTAATAGTTCATTTAGGGCAGTTAAAGCAATCTAACGTTGTCCCACTTTGGAAAAGGGACCGTGAAAAGTACGCTGGAATTCATAATATCGTGGATTGAGGGCCTCCAGATTTTTTTTGATTTTGTTAAAGACCGATATTTCTAAGAAATGATGCGGTCCGATATATCCGTCTGTAGATTTTGAACCGCTCTAGAATTCGGCCTGAAAATCAACCAATTCGACTAGAAAACTTAAAGAAATCGAACACTTAAACCAAAATCCAGTATCTCATCTTGTTCCGGAGTTACGAGTTCTCAAATTTGAAATTTGTTTTATAAGTTGTTCGCTAAATAATAATTTAAAATATCAGGAGGCCGGAGTCATTTTTCGAGCCCGGATGGTTGTTCAGGAGGTTTGAATTATTAGGAGAGTAATTTTCAGGCAGATCTAGAGAAATTTTTTTATTTAATTTTTTTGAATGGGTCAAAATTTTCGTTTTAGACCATGTCAAGCTACTTATTTCGCTTAAACGAACTATAATTTATGTAAAAATTACTCTCTTTACTAATTAAACGCTTTTAAAGAAGAATACAATCTCAAAATATTTGTTCAGGGCCTCCAGATTTTTTTTGATTTTTTTAAAAATCGGTATTTTCAAAAAATGATGCGGTCCGATATATCCGTCTGTAGATTTTGAACCGCTCTAGAATTTGGTCTGAAAATCAACCAATTCTACTAGAAAACTTAAGGAAATCGAACAGTGAAAACCAAAATCCAGTATCTTATCTCGTTCCCGAGTTACGAGTTCTCAAATTTGAAATTTATTTTATAAGTTGTTCGCTAAATAATAATTTAAAAAATCAGGAGGCCGGAGTAATTTTTCGAGCCCGGATTGTTGTTCAAGAGGTTCGACTTGTAAGAGGAGTATTTTCAGACAGATGGAGAGAAATGTTTCTATTTAATTTTTTCAAATGGGTCAAAGTTTTCGGCTTAGACCATGTCAAGCTACTTATTTCGCTTAAACGAACTATAATTTATGTAAAAATTACTCTCTTTACTAAGTTAACGCTCTTAAAGAAGAATCCAGTCTTAAAATATTTGTTCAGGGCGTCCAATTTTTTTTTTATTTTTTTTAAAGACCGAAAAAAAAAAGATGCCGTCCGATTTACTCGTCTATAGATTTTGAGCCGCTCTAGAATTCGGCCTGAAAATCAACCAAATCGACTAGAAAACTTAAAGAAATCGGACAGTGAAAACCAAAATCCAGTATCTCATCTCGTTCCGGAGCTATGAGTTCTCAAATTTGAAATTTGTTTTATAAGTTCTTCCTAAAAAATAATTAAAAAATCAGGAGGGCGGAGTAATTTTGCGAGCCCGGATAATTGTTCAGGAGGTTCGACTTGTAAGAAGAGTAATTTCAGACAGATGGAAAGAAATGTTTTTATTTAATTTTTTCGAATGGGTCAAAGTTTCCGGCTTAGACCATGTCAAACTACTTATTTTGCTTAAACGAACTATAATTTATGTAAAAATTACTCTCTTTACTAAGTTAACGCTCTTAAAGAAGAATCCAGTCTTAAAATATTTGTTCAGGGCGTCCAAATTTTTTTTTATTTTTTTTAAAGACCGTAATTTAAAAAAAATTATGCCGTCCGATTTATTCGTCTGTAGATTTTGAACCGCTCTAGAATTTGGCCTAAAAATCAATTAATTCGACTTGAAAACTTAAAAAAATCGGACAGTGAAAACCAAAATCCAGTATCTCATCTCGTTCCGCAGCTACAAGTTCTCAAATTTGAATTTTTTTTATAAATTGTTCGCTAAATAATAATTTAAAAAATCAGGACGCCGGAGTCATTTTTCGAGCCCGGATTGTTGTTCAGGAGGTTCGAATTGTTAGGAGAGTAATTTTCAGACAGATCTAGAGAAATTTTTTATATTTAAATTTTTCGAATGGGTCAAAATTTTCGGCTTACACCATGTCAAGCTATTTATTTCGCCTAAACGAACTATAATTTTTATAAAAATTCCTCTCTTTAGTAATTAAACGCTTTTAAAGAAGAATACAGTCTCAAAATATTTGTTCAGAGCCTCCAGATTTTTTTAAAGATCTATATTTTCAAAAAATGATGCCTTCCGATTTATTCGTCTGTAGATTTTGAACCGCTTTTGAATTCGGTCTGAAAATCAACCAGTTCGACTAGAAAACTTAAACAAATCGAACAATGAAAACCAAAATCCAGTATTTCATCTCGTTTCGGAGTTAGCAGCTGTCAAATTTGAAATTTGTTTTATAAGTTGTTCGCTAAATAATAATTTAAAAAATCATAAGGCTGGAGTCATTTTTCGAGCCCGGATTATTGTTCAGGAGATTCGAATTGTTAGGAGAGTAATTTTCAGACAGATCTAGAGAAATTTTTTTATTTAATTTTTTCGAATGGGTCAAAATTTTCGGCTTACACCATGTCAAGCTACTTATTTCGCTTAAACGAACTATAATTTATGTAAAAATTCCTCTCTTTAGTAATTAAACGCTTTTAAAGAAGAATAGAGTCTCACAATATTTGTTCAGGGCCTCCAAATTTTTTAAAATTTTTTTAAAGATCGATATTTTCAAAAAATGATGCGGTCCGATATATCCGTCTGTAGATTTTGAACCGCTCTAGAATTCGGCCTGAAAATCAACCAATTCGACTAGAAAACTTAAAAAAATCGGACAGTGAAAACCAAAATCCAGTATCTCATCTCGTTCCGGAGTTACGAGCTCTCAAATTTGAAATTTGTTTTATAAGTTGTTCGCTAAATAATTATTTAAAAAATCAGGAGGGCGGAGTAATTTTGCGAGCCCGGATTATTGTTCAGGAGGTTCGACTTGTAAGGACAGTAATTTTCAGACACATCTAGAGAAATTTTTTTATTTAATTTTTTCGAATGGGTCAAAATTTTCAGCTTACACCATATCAAGCTACTTATTTCGCTTAAACGAACTATAATTTATGTAAAAATTATTCTCTTTACTAAGTTAACACTCTTAAAGAAGAATTCAGCCTCAAAATATTTGTTCAGGGCGTCAAAAATTTTTTCGATTTTTTTTTAGAGACCGATATTTAAAAGAAATGATGCCGTCCGATTTACTCGTCTGTAGATTTTGAGCCGCTCTAGAATTCGGCCTGAAAATCAACCAATTCGACTAGAAATCTTAAAAAAATCGGACAGTGAAAACCAAAATCCAGTATCTCATCTCGTTCCGGAGTTAGGAGCTCTCAAATTTGAAATTTCTTTTATAAGTTGTTCGCTAAATAATAATTATAAAAAATCAGGAGGCCGAAGTCATCTTTCGAGCCCGGATTGTTATTCAGGAGGTTCAAATTGTAAGGAGAGCAATTTTCAGAGAGATCCAGAGAAATTTTTTTATTTCATTTCTTCGAATGGGTCAAAATTTTCAGCTTACACCATGTCAAGCTACTTATTTCGCTTAAACAAACTCTAATTGATGTAAAAATTGCTCTCTTTACTAATTAAACTATTAAACGCTCCTGAAGAAGAATCCAGTCCCAAAATATTTGTCCAGGGCCTCCAGAATTTTTTCAAAGATCGATATTTTCAAAAAATGACACCGATGAATTGTTCGGGAAAAAATAAAAAAGAATATCAGGAAGTCCCGGACACAATTTTCGGACCCGGATTATTGTTCTAGAGGTTCGAATTGTAAATAGAGCAATGTTCATTGAGATCGAGATATTTTGTTTTATTTAGTTCTTTGAATGGATACAATTTTTCGGATTTATAATATGTCAAGCTATTTCAGTTAAACAGACCCTAATTTGTATACAATTTGCTCTCTTTACTAACTAGAAACTCAAGAAGAATGATCCAGGATCAAAAGATATCTTCGGGACCTCCAACATTTTTTTGGAAGTTTTTTAACGATATGCCCATAATAATAATAATAATATAATAATACATATATTTACGGAATTATATCCTTGTACAAGTCAAAAGAGATGAACATACATACATACATACATTATATATACATTGTACACTTTAGTGAATACACTACTTCGTCAAAAACAAAAAACAAAAAACAAATAAATTACAAATAATTTACCAGCTCAGGATGGACTTCACATTTGCTTTAAAACAATTAGGTGGTACATTAAAAAGGTCTAGACGGGGATACTCATTTAATAGTTTGCATAATCTGCTAATAGAAAAATGAACCCCATAATTTGTTCGATGATTTGAGACATAGAATATTATATTATACATTATATCTTACCGAATAGCTTGGCACGTGTAGAAAAAATTGTTCCAATGGATAGATAGATAATACAATAGAAATAAAAATAAAAAAGGCTCCCATATTTTTCAAAATTACTTGTCCAGTTTTTAATGCAGTAATAATTTAATAATTAATATTTGCCTAACTCAGCCTCGTGTTATTTTAAATATAAACTATTATTACAAATAACTATTAATTTACCAGAACTTATTTTTGAAACGCAAAAATTTGACACACCGTTACTACAAACGGTTTCAAAAAATTCGAAAAATCATTTATTTAACCTTCTAATTTTTTTCTAATCGAAATTTTGTCATATTTTTTACAATAAATACTAACAACAAGACTGCCGTTATAAATGTTCTTAATACCTGTATTTTCAAGATCAGAAAATAAACAAGAAAGAGAATCTAGATTATGGTAAACAGAAAGCAGGAGTTATTATTTGATAAAATAAACTTTCCATCACTCGAGTACTTGGGCTTGTTTAGAAGTAACATAACAAAAGTGAAATAAGCAAAGTAAAAACTAACTTTAGCACTGAAACATTTTAATCAGATATGAGTAATATTTTTATAAACAAACGCTATTAGTTTAGAAATAGCCACTGAGCTTGTTTTAGAAGTGGTAATAATTAAATGAAAACAGTTCTGCAGCAAAAATAATTTTATTTAAAACAAACAAAAATAACACTACAAATTAACTCAAAAGTAAACTGCCAAATGAATTAAATTTGTTCACCATGAATATAGCGCTCTCTGAATTGAATTTATTATAAGGAAATCAAGATGAATTATAACTGGAAATCTCATTTTATTGAAAACAGATAAATGGAAAAGTGAATGACCCCACCGCAAATCAAAAGTCACAAATCTCTAAATTTTAATCCGATTCTCTTTCTTTTGATCTGCGGAACTGCAAAAGCTCTCCATTACTTCCACCCAAATAAACACAGCAAACGTTTGATTAGTACGTCGGCCCAAATTCCAGCGATTCCCACCATTTCTGGAAGCTATTACAACTTGAGGTCAGTAAAAGCTAATTATCCTAGACATCTCGGCGATGTGTCATTAATCAAGACGACAGGAATTACGATCTCTCCGCTCCAATCTCTACGTGCCTATCAACTTAAAATCGAACTGGGGGAAAATGAGGAACAATCTCTCTAACGAAAAACTGTGCCAGTTGTAACTGTGATTGACCTGTTAATTTTTGAGCTTAAAACAAACATTTAAAACACAAACGAACCAATTTGGCTAACTGCGGGCTAATTATGTCTCAAACGACTTTTATTAAACACATTGAGATTGAGCGCGTCATTTGAATTACCGTTCATGTGGGAAATTAACGCCACTGTTTCTTAATTCGTTTAAGGACGATTGCCGGATTCGTCCTTCGGCTTTGATCAAAACGCGATCAAGCAATTTGGCATTAATTATTGATGAGGAGGAGATAAATCGTGTGTGAAGTGCGTAATGGAGGGCTCTGGGTGTCAAAGGGTGAGAAAGGGATGGTTTGTTATTTGTGTAAGGAGAATCTGGAGGAGGTTTGTGGGAGGTGAAAGTAGAATTTCGCGCTGATTCGGTTTATGGCGACTGTTGACACAAGAATGGAATATCTTCGGGATGAAAGTTTGACGAAATTTAATTATTCTGATGAGCGGTGGGTTACTTACATAGTCTGGAGCTGTCGTAAATGCTGAAATACGCCTGTCTCGAAGTAGTAAAAGTTCTCCAAATTGACGAGAGTCCTGGAACAGAAAATTTAATACCATGATGTTATGATCACACAGATGAGATGCTTAGAAATGTATTTTTAATTCCACCTGTGAGGCAAAGAGCTGCTTTTAGTTTCAGGAAAAGCTTTGTTGCATTAAGATACAAAGGAACTGTGTAATTAAATCCTTTAAATATTATTTCTTGATGTTGTAAGTCGTCTGATCTTTTTTTCCATAGATACCTCGTCAGACCAAACTCTAAAATAAAAACGTCGTAAACCACCCAGAACAGTTCGATTAAACTCGGCAACTTTTCTTCCGATATCACGATTTTACGGGCATCTAATACCCTTTCCGATGTTATTCCTTCGATAAGTTTAGTTAGGTGCAAGGACTCCTGAAACACGTGGGCAGAGCAAACTAAAAAATCCAATAACTTGAGTGCAGAAATATCGAGGTTTTTTTTTATCTTAAAATACCACTCTCTCTGCCAAAGAGTTCTGGCGAATGTTATTTTGTTGATCAAATTGGAGAAATGTCAAATGAATAAGAATTTGTTCGGTTTGGAAAGTTCTCTTGAAATAAGTTTGTTTGCGGGGTTGCGATAATTCTATTAAAAACTGAAGAGTTTTATGGGAAATGGGTTAATTAGAAATCGAACTCGGAGTGTTTCTTTTGACGAGTGTGTAGTTGGATGTGCCTCATTTAGTCGACCATTAAAGAGCTTTCAGTAGTCTGGTGTTTTGTGAGCCTGCATGGCTCGAAACATCAAACCGCAGTTTGATGTCTGACAAACAGCTTTGCTATCTACATCAAAGGTTTTTTGCGCATGTTGATATCATTTAGTCAACATTTCTTAGCGAAGTTACGTTAAACGGGAGGTTATTCGATTTTTGTTGAGTCTGTTTTATCTTCGGTTGGTTGTTAATTATCTCCCCGATTGAAAAGACGTAAGCACAATTTTTTAAACATTTTTATTAGTAAGTACAATTGTCAACGTAAATTCGTTGTTACTAGGTGGAATTCTGGATTATACTACTCGTCCACGAGTCGCGTCGTTATTGATTGAATATCGACACATTTTCAGGCGAATTTTTATTTTTAGTAAAGTCGTAGAGTAAGAAGTGCGAAGTGTATGCATCAAAAATTATTAATACAACAACAGAAACAGAAAAGAGCAAAATTTAAACTTTGTTAATACCTTAAACTGCATTAACTTCACAGAAAACAAAAATTAATTACGCTGGGGTTAGCTGGTTCAGATCAGATAAAGCCAGTTCAAGTCTGGTCTAGTCTGTCTGGTTAGTGCAGATTATATGAAGAAAAGTACCGAGTGACTATTAATATTTGTGATTTTTTGTCAGGTTGAGAACATTTTAAAATTGAAATTTTGGACACCAATTCAGAAGCTGCCATCTTCTCATTGGTTTCTAGACACACTCGTGTCAAAATTGACAATTGTGCCTTGCCTCCTCATCCAAACACTATTTCTTTAGCTAACTAGATAGTAAAGCTCGCTTTTCGAGCACACATTGCAAAAATCGAAGTAAATATACTAATTTCCTTTTTAGATGTTATTCACATTTTTAGCAATTGTGTAAAATAAAGGCTCTCATTCGTCGTCTTCGAGAGATTCATCCGGATTTCGAACCGTTCGCAGTTGACCAACTAAAAGTTGAAAGAGCTGATTACGGTGATCGACCGCCATTCCACCAAATCTAATCGCCCTGTCTTTGGAACAGAAGCTACCTATTTGCCATAAAACATCCAAAGGGGCAAATTCGGTGATGGTGTCACACACACTTTCAGGTGAAAATGGAGCTCCGATGGAGTTTCACTGAAATTGTATCTATATATCCGTTTCGAGCAAAATTGCCTTAGGAAATTTTCTTGAAACTGGGTCAATTTCAGCGTCACCATACAATCTAGAAGTGAATGGGTACATTTCTGCTCCACGGTTGCTACCGATGCAAAAACTCAGTGTCAGCTTTGTGTATTAAAAAACTCCTTGGACAAACAGATTTTGGTTCTCATATTTTTTCTTGTCTTGTAAATTTCATGCCAGAGTTTTCCATTAATCGAGTACGTGGATCAGTAATTTAGCATAAGAGGTATGCCGTTTCGTTCTATCTGCATTGTAAATGAATATGTATTTCTTTAAACGTCTACCTACCTAGATAAAAAAGAGTGTTTGGATGAGAAAACGAGGCACAATTAAACAGGTACAACCTTTTTATAGCGTTCTACCTTGATTGTGCTAGTCTTTTCATCCAATCACTCGGTTCCTAACCTTCCCAACATGAATGATAAGCCCTTCGAATATTGTTGCACATTTACTTTAAACTTAATGACAATTGACAGGTTGGGGCGATCGTTGGTGGCAAATAAGAAATGAGGTCGTTGTTCAGAAGATATGATTACTTAAAAAAATGTGCGTGAAAACGAGTACGTAGTGTGACTACCTAGTTAAATAAAGAGTGTTTGGATGAGAAGACTAGCACAATCAAGGTCGAACGTCATAAAATCGTTTGACCTGTTTAGTTGCGAACTGACATACTAGTATCGCGGCTAATAATTCAGAGTTACCAACACAACAATTTGCTTCAATCACTAATAAATAGTCAACTGATATACCGGGTGTCTGAAAAAACAATTTGAAAAAGTTTTGAATGCCCCAGTGTTTTTATTTTTTTAATTCGGGGGACTTTTGTGTACCCGAGGTGTATTATTTTGGGACCCAATAGAGATTTGTTTTGCAAATTATTGAAAACAATTTTGGGGGACTTTTGTGTTCTATTTTTGGAAAATTCTGATTTGATCTGTCTTTGAGTTAATTTTGGGACCCCGTTTTTTTTTTGGAAAATTTAAAACAATTTTGAGGTTCTAGGTATTCCTGCTTTGAAAGAATATGAAAGTGCTTCTAGCGTCTTTTCTTATAATAAATAATTTAATTAAATTTCTTAGCGGATACGTAAAATCAATCTTGTTTTAGCAGGTACTAGCCCCAACCATCAGCCCTCTATTTTCCTAACGGAGATGTGATTTACCAAAATCGATCTTATTTTAGCAGGTCACTTTAGAAGGATCTTATTGGCCAAAATCAGTCTTATTATAGTAGGTACTAGCCCTCTAAGAAAATAAAAGGCGGGTGGGTGGGGCTAGTATTTGCCAAAATAAGATTGATTTTGCCAATTGATATACCTTCTACCCTACATTTTCTTAGAGGGTATGTCATTTGCGAAAATCAGTCTTATCGTAGCAGGTACTAGCCCCACCCACCCACCCTGTCTTTTCTTAGAGAATACGTCATTTGCCAAAATTAGTCTTATCCTGGCAGCTACTAGCTCCGCCCACCCACCCTCTCTTCTCTTAGAGGGTATCTCATTTGTCAAAATCAGTCTTATCTTGGCAGCCACCAGCCCCGCCCACCCACCCTCATTGTTCTTAAAAAATAGTTTCGACACGATACACAGATTTTGTCTCACTAGTCTTATTAAACATATTTTTTCATTTTCACAAAATACTTCTGTATTCCTTTCAAATTTGAATTTAGATACACATACAGTTGGTGCTTTTCTGTTACGTTTTCTAATTTTCGTGATAACAGGTGTTTGGATCTGAAAATCTTTATAAACCTTAAAATTTTAAAAATTCTACGACGTTGTGAATGCATTTTCATACTTAATCTGTGTTAGCTTGATAACTCATTAAACGGAAGAGTTTTAACGAATTCGTTTTCACTCCTAAGGGTTAAATGTAGGGAAGTCTCTTCTTAATGGCTGCAAATGTCGTAAGGGGAACCATTTCGTTTTCCTGTATTCAAGGGATTAATAAAAATACAGTTCACATCTTTTCACCCACTTAAGGGTTGAATTTGGAGAAATCTGTTCTTTGCGATCGTTAAAGTCGTAAGGGGAAACCGATCCTCAAATTTCACGTTCCTAAGTCCCCAGAGAAAGGGATGATTGGGATAGAATCAGAACCATATAGTATCAGAAATCAGAAAGAAATGGGATTAAGCATCATCAGATTTGATTTGCAGTTAAGCGACAACCATGAAAATTGAAAATAGTTAGTTTCAGTAAAACAACATATATATTTCTCCCCGAAGTTACTGCTTCGATCTCTGAATGATCCAAGAATTATCATCAATCTTCATCTACTCTTATCCTGTTAACTACAGTGAAGTCGTTACTCAAAACCAGATCAGCAGAATTTTAATAAAACCGTCTGGTCTATGATTCATCTATTGTGGACTTTTATATCGTTAGATAAAACAGAAATTGCATCCGGGTTATTAGCGAACATAAGATGCATTCAATACCATTTTCACTGATGAAGTCGAGAGCTTTGCAGCCATTGTGAAATCTTTGTAGGCAGACGGTCAGAAATTGATCAATAAGTTACCAACTTGTTGAACTGAAAAACCAACATTCAACTGTATAAATTTTAATAGTTCTGGGAGAGAGAAGCACAAGCGCTCACAATTCCCAAGATTATATGACAAGTTGAAATTAAAAATGAAACTTTAAAAGGTAAGTTAGAGTCGAATGAACCTGGGAGCTTTGCGGACAAAATGTTAAAAATTCAAAAATTTGTAATAACAGAGAATTGCAAATATTAATTATCCTCGATTTTTGGGGTATGAAATAAGGAATCCTAGAAGAGGATACAAAAAATCCCTATTTTTCCTTAATTTAAGCAGAATGCAAGCAAATAGAAGAAAGAAAAAATGTAAAATATGATCTCGAGCACAAAGTGTTTTTTTTTGTCACTTCAAGTCGAGCTTTAACTTTTCTTTTGAACTGGAAACGTGTGATTTTTCTATTAATTAATTCAAACAGATCTTCCAACTTAGCATGTTCCGATGACGTCGAAAATTATTAAAAAATTAAAATCACACATTATGAAAGCTTCAGAAAGCACATCTTTTTACAAAAGATAATTTAACCTGCAGTCTTAAAAGATTCTTTCCAGGCTATTAAAATATGCACTCTTTAAGACATCAGATTACGTTTGGAGAGATAAAAAACTGATTAGCTATAATTGACAAAGAAAGAAATAAAGGAACAAAAAGATTTAAAGAAGATGACATTTTTCAGTTCGTTATACTTAAATTTTCCCAGCGATTTTTCACCACCTAATTACCGTTATTAATCAAAAATATTGACTCAGGGATTATATAAAGGACCCAAACTACCAGAATTTAACAGTTTCGTGTATAATCCCCTTCGGTTTCCGCTCATCGATTAAGGTCGAGTTTATGAATTTCGTCAACGCAATGAATAAGTTTTATGCGTGCTCGTTTGTCATAGCTTATAGTTTTATGTTTGTGTCGTTAACAAAATTTATCGCTCGTTACGTTGACATAACGTTTAATCACTCTATTCTCGAGTGAATGGAGCCGCGTTGTTAAATTATTAATTAGTTAAAAGTCGACGATATAGTTGTGAAGATCATGCATTATGCATGCTGTCTTCGGTCAATATTTGCCTTCTCAACCCTTGTCGAAATTAAAATTTGACTTTTAAATTGGAAAGCGAAATGTTTATTTCAATCTCGAGCGAAGTGCTGTCTTCAGACGATTCCTTGAATTAAAGTTTTAAAGTAGTTCGAAGGAGTTGTCTGCAATTATGAGAACAAAGACACCGGTTTTAAACAGGCCCGAAATCGAATTTTCAGTTATTTTCAACAACAAGTTTTAAACTAACACAGGGAAGCTAGTAGGATTGAAAAACTCACAGCTCTCTCAACGTGGCGGCGTACGGCACCAGTGAATCGCCTTTCAGGACTTCGATTCCGGCGTCCTCGATTATCCTGTAAGGATTTTCCTTATACATGCGGTAACAAGACGAAGCGCGTTTGTACCTACAGGATTGTCAGTTCTTTGTGGAGATTGCTGGGGATGTCCATCAGGGCGGGTCCGCTGCATCTGCACTCAACGGTGATGCGGTCCACTTCGTCGACCTCTTCGCAAGGACACTGTCTCAAGGCCGGACCGCTTGCGGGAATTCCTATCATTATCTTGTCGGCGGCAGCTACAGCGAAAACCCAGAACCACGTAATCCTGGAACAAGAGATTCGTTTCGGGGTATTTAATCGAGAACGAAGAGCAGTGGGAGAATTTGTTTCTTGATTTTGGCGGGACAGTGAAAAAGCAAAGCGATTTGTCTAGTTTTTGTGGAGTTTTTCGCACAATAAGCTGAATAATGTGGGGAAAGGAGCTTTATTGGAGTGAGAACGTAAATATACTTAGGTGGAATTGGCTCGGCTGGAGATGGTTTTATTGGGTGTGTTTAATGTTAGGGAGATTAAGGTTTTTGTCAAGTAGAATTTGGCAGGCTTTAATAAAAAAATGCTTAGTGATATTAGCATGATGCTATTCAGGAATTACCAGTTTGGAATTCAGCCAAAGAAAGTCATCGTCTTGGAATTTTTTTTGGTTAATAATTACACCGCTTTTAAAATATTTACTTATAACATAATTTTTGTTGTTTCTTTTGGTAACCTGACCGTTTTGAGCATTAAACATTTTTTGTCTCTTTAATTAAGCTGAAATCTCCTTCCAGAGCTTTCCCTTTCCGGATCGATACAGGGCGCTCCATTGAACTGTCCGCAAAAAATAAATACACAAAAGTAAGTAAATCCAATGCAAATTCCTCTACCCATACCTTCCACAAAGAAAAATATGAGCATTTGTCATCGCATGTTTTTGTGGCTGAGACGTTTGCCAGACCTATCGGGCTTCTGTGTGGGACGCGAAAGCTCCACGGATATGAGATCGGTCGCTTTAAAAGCTCCCATTCAAGCCCTATATTAAAAATACAGTTGCGTACTCAATTTATGAAAGAATGTGATGTCATTTACGTACAGATCACACTGAATAGCAACTTCGATCGAACAAAAGATTGGCCCGAGAAAATCTGACTTTGATCGTCGTCGTGAAAATAGTAAAACGAAGCCACATATTCCTTTAAATTAAAAACATAGTAAATAATCCACTAATGGTTATGCCCGTACACGGCAAAATCGTGTTTACTTTCACTTTGAGCATTTATTTCCATTTAAATTTTCTCCATTTACAAAAACACTTTGCTAAAAAATCCGCTTTAGCTTAGTTTCGGAACAATTTAATTTATGCGATGTTTTTAGCATTTCCCTCTGGGATTTCACCATCTTTCTGCGGTTAAGTTAAAATCAAAGTGGAGGGCAGGTCGAAAGGACATGTTCTGAAAACGGCGGGTTGGCGGAAAAAATTAATAAATCGTAAAAATGTGAGTCGGAGTTGAAAGTAATGAAATACGGTTTTTGAGATACAGAATTCACGTTTTATGTTGAAATAAATACCTCGGAATGAAATGATATGATTTACATAATTTACGTAATTATCTACTCTATATTTCATAATAAGTATTCAGGAGCGAATCTCAAGACGCCTTGTACGTTTAGGTTGGGTTGAAACTAGTGATTATGACCCTATGAAAAAAAAGTAAAACAAAAATTATTGTCTGCAGGAGAGCTTTTTTAAATAATTAATACAGTATTGGCGAGGTGTTAGACAAGGATGTCCGCTAAGTCACAGCTTATTAGCGAGGTGCTTAAACGATATAGCGATATATTCGAAAAAGAACAGGTAAGAAGGGCCGTCGTGAGAAAGTGGGAGTGTGGTTTGTAGCGTATGATAACAATTTTCTAATCATAGTAAACGAAGAAAGAGAAATGGAATACATAATAAAAATAGGGAGGAGTACAAAAAAAGGTAAACTGTGCAAAAATGTTGGGTGAACTAAAGTAAAAGGAGAAAGGAAACTTCTGAAAAGAAAAGCACGAGTATTATGAAAGAAAGGGTGAGTTGTTGTAGAAGTTGAAAAAATGAGAGAAAGTGGAAGGAAAATGATTGGCGAGGTAAGTCAAAAAGGTAGAGATGTTGGCTACCAGAAGACGAGAAAAAATTAGAGAATACAAACAAGTGGGAAATAACTGAAAAAAAAAGAGAAAAGTGTGGCAGGGAAATTTCGAAAGAACGAGAGTGAATCAGCTTCGAACTAAAGAAAATGAGAGTGGTGGTGACTGTGTAAGAGTGGATGATATGTTAAAACAGTGTGAAGAACTAAGAAAAAAGAAAAAGGAAATAAGGAAATACAGAAGAATTTCTAGAGAGTATTTAATTTTGGACCATTATCTGATTTATCTGCAATTAAATGAGGTTAGTCTGGTCAGCGTGCGTTGGGTTTGTTTACTGTTAATTTACTCGCAGCTATTTTTAGGTTGCGATATTCGATTCTCGAAATTTCTATTGGTTTGACCTACAATATAATTTTTTCAGACCTAAAAAAACGTAACTTTATGAACCTTAAGCCATAAAAATGCAGGGTTTCTTTAAATTATATAAACAGAATATTCTCATAAAACCACTAGTTTCATACACTCAAACGTCTTGCGAAAAATTGATGAAGTGTTAATAATTATTATTAAAAAGAAGCTACAATTTTATTCTAGATTTTTAGTAATAAATTAAAAATATGCATAATCGAACGATCCATTCCTTTTGATGTCTGTCCACCAACGTTCCATCAAATGAAGTCGTATACATATAATTCAAGAAAGTCTTATTTCGTAGGACATTAGTCCGATTATTGTCGACATAAATTTAACAGAAATATATGTATTTGACAAATTTATGCTGTTAACAGCATTTTTTTCAAATTTATTCTTACCTTCCCTAAGAACTAAATTATTAAGAAAATATGAGAAACCTGTGTATGAAAACTTAATGTTGGTCCACTACCACTAACAAAAGTTCTAAAATCGTGAAATGGAACTTAAGCAATCTCTGATTTAGTTCAGTAGAGATTTTTTTTTATTGTATTCTCTCCAGATCTTTTTCCATCCATCTTAATGTCCGTTATGATTGCACAAGAAAACTTTTCTTAAACGTCGTATTATCTCCACCAATAAATTTCCAGTTAGCTACTTAGCTTCACCGTAATTATCTTTTAATTAGATTGAGGCAATTTTTAATTACCTCATCCCGTTTTTTCCAGCCACTAGCACCCATAAAACATCGTAATAGCCCGACAATGTAACATTCAAATATTAAACAAGCCCCGAGCTAAACCAATTTCTTCCCACGATGCGCATACAGAATTAGCTCTCTCCCTGCGAATTTTTTGCCCGCACCCCATTTATTTTATCGGTCTCTTCTTGGCTGCTTAGCCAAAATCCTCCACAATTGCTGCAGACATAATTTATACTTTGTTTACTACAACGAAACTTTTTTCTTTAATAGTCTGACATTTCGGCGTATTTACACTTGTACGGAAAAATAATAAAAACGTTTTCCTTTGAATAATTCATAAACCCTGTATGCGGTTTATATTTATAACGTCGATTTGAGAGCATGACGGCAAAGCTCATAAATCCAAATCATACGTCCCAATATGTTTTATTCAAAATAAACCGAGGGGTTACACATTGCTTCGGGCATGAAAAATTATCACCCGCTCTTGAATATTAAAATTTATGAGGGCGGCGTGTTTAAAGTGTTGCATTTTGTCATTTCCCAGGAAAAATTAAAAGGGGACGGTTCAAAGGTGAAGAAACCGGTGTGCAATTACAGGAGTGGCAAGGCCGGGGATTTATTGGCTGGGCGGTTTTATGGTTTATATCAAGGAGAAATTAATCGAGATTTTGTGCTTGGAAGAGATTTTAGGTTTGTTATTAATTAAAATCGATTTTTTGGACGTAAAAAGAACGATAGTAAAACTCGATTCGATTATTTAGTGTTGCGTCTTGCAGCTCGGTTAGTGATGTTTTGGGTTTTTGACGAATTTTGTTAATTTATTTGTTCAAAAATTAAACAAAACTATGGTATATACAAACAATTAAAGTCTCGATTAGGAAAGCAATGATAAAATGACACATATATTTTGTTTATGTTTTTCAGAATATCCCACCATAGAAGTGGATAAAAGGAATGCAGATAAATATGCCGCTAATATTATCCATTAATTTGGAAAATTTGAAATTCATTGTCCAATACAAGTTTAAATACACCGATAATTAATACCCGATGAAATTAATATACATATGTAGTATGTATCTGATAATAATTATATTATAAATTCCAGGATACAAATTGACGATTTTAAAATTCAATATAGATATAATTCTGATACAGACGACGACTAAATTTTACATCGCTCCAACACAACAGATTTAAAATATTGGCAAAATATTAGTGACCTAACCACAACATAAAAATTTTCCTTGTGTCAAAAATGGTGAAAATATCGTCCACATGCCTCACCAAATTACTTAACTTATGACTCAAAATATTACACTTAACTCCTCTTGTTTATTTGCAGAAATGATGCGATTCCTCTTCCATTCCGACGCGTAAAGTTCTACAAACTTAACAGCGAATACCTTAATTATTTTGTTGTTTCTAGTTTTCCACTTGATTAAAAACCATATTTCAAAGCAAGCACTAGGTTTTACGGTGTCTGGCTTTGTTAGTCTTTGATGAAATTCTCTAAAGTTCAAAACACGTACTGCTTTAATCTTCCTCATTTACAACTTTGCTACGACTTAAACAACCACTGAAAATTCTATATCGAGATTTTTCAAATTTTGGAACAATTTTCCGAAACGACAACTTTAGTTTAACGCCACCTATTCACAACTTTACAACTTATTTACTCTTTACAAGCTTTAATTAACACCGACTTTTGTCCCAAAGTTTGAGAAGCTTTCAGATAACCCTTTAACGCTCGTATTGTACACATATTTAATTACCACCAGTTTAATTTTGGGTGAGTATAAGTTGAATTTGTTTTCCGGAAGCTACAGAAACATTGCTATTAACTTCAAATGGAGCTCCAAGTTAAAATTAAAACGTATAATGAGTATGTAGTTATCCTCTGTTATCTACCGTGTGTTATGTTATAGTATTTACTTTTCATCGAGATAATGTTACTTGACAGTGTTATTACACGTATTGTAAAGCTTGTGGTATTATTATGTCAATAAAAAGAGTTAAATAGAGCAAATTATTGCCAAATATGC